GAGAGAGGGAACACAAGTAGGGGGAGTGGGAGAGGGAGAAGCAGGCCTTCCGCCGAGCAGGGAGCCCGACGCAGGGCTCGATCCCAGGACCCTGGGATCATGACCCGAGCCGAAGGCAGACGCTTAACGACTGAGCCACCCAGGCGCCCCAGTCTTTTTCCTTTTAATTCTGGATTTTAAAAATTGTTTTTTAACCTTGTTTGAGGTTGTCTTAACTGTTTCCTCTGCTTGCCCAAACTTGCACATACTCACCCTTTAACAATTGCGAACTCAGTGTATTTTCCGCATTACATAAACCTTGGTTGCCCACACTTTCCTAATCTCACTCCTTAATTTTTCTCTCGATTACTTCCTCTCTTATCTCTTCACTCACCACAACTTTTCATTTGCTTTCCCTTCTCTTTTTCAGCTCCCCGGCAGATAATTTTTAAACTAAACAACAGCTGAACAATATCCCCACTGTTCCATGTGTCTGAGTATGCACGGCACGTCCACACTTGCCCAGAACAGAAGGAAAACACAATTTCTTCCATTTTATTTCTTTGCATCAAAAGTGATTAAATCTGTCTGCATGACCTTCATACATCAGACCATTTGGCTATTTTAAAAGTCTGTTTAATAGAGAAAGTCAAGCTGCATTCCCTTGGTAGAAGAAATCTTTACCACCAAACAGTGCGGTAAATGCCAGGGGAACAATGCATCTTTTGTAGGATGGGAGAGAGAGACACTGCCATCTTACAATTGCTGAATTGTTTAAATTATTATATGGCAATTCATGCTAGATACATATTTGCATTGTTGTATAAGTATTTTCTTATTTTGGTTAAAGATGGCTTTTTGAAGGGATAACCTATTTTTGCAAGGCAGGCTTAGGAAACCCCATTCCATGGGCTGGTACATTTAATTTTATTACCCTGGCCAGGAGTATTTCAATTTTTTAATAAATCATCAAGGTGGTAAAAGACTGCAAACAACCTCCAGTAACTCAGGCACCACCATATTTTATTTACTAACAGCTGGAGTAAAGTTTTCAGTAAAAAATCTTAAGCAGCATTTTCCTTTTTGGTGAGAATCAATTTCACAACCCATCTTTTCAACCTTATCTAAGGTTATAAAACTGAGTTGGCTATTTTGAAGTGAAGGGGGAAAAAAAAGAAAAAAAAGTAGGAAAATTTTCATGGTAAAATATTATGAGAAGAAAATGAAGAGAAATTGTCCAGAATTATATCAGCAATTCCTATTTTTAAATGTCAGAATTCTTGTAAATGAGTTCTTTCTTGCTTTGATGTTTGAGAGTTGAATGGCGAGTTGAATTAGTCACCGCCCATTGATCACCTACTTCATGCAAGGCACTCAATTAAGTCCTGAGAATATAAGGAAAAGAGACATATGTCCTGTCCTCGGAAAGTTTATAGTTCAGTGAGGTAGATAGACATGTGGGCCAGCAGTTACATTATGGTTCTGTCTGGGCACACAGGGAACTGGGGGAGCCTACTGACTGAAGAGAGGCTTCAGTCTGCTCAGAAAGCCTTCCTGGAGGCATCTAGAAGGACAAGTGGGGGTTAGCCGATTAGAGAAGAAAGGAATAGGAGTTACAACTCTTCCTGTTGTAAGCAATAAACAACCTAATGCAAACTGGCTTAATAAAAAAAAAATATATTGGCTCATGTACCTGAGGACATCAGCCAGAGGATTTGGGCTTTGGGTATAGCTGAATCCACGGTCTAGTACAATATTGTTAGGAATCTGCCATTGATGGTCTAGCCAGCAGCATCTCCCTGCTTCCTTGCTAATAGAACCCCAAATTTATTCATTTTCTTTGGAGTTGCTGTGTCCTTCAGGGGTGGCTGGGCTTAACTAGTTGTATTTGTAGTGATCCTATTTCCAAATACAGTCACATTCTGAAGTACTGGAAGTTAGGACTTCCAACATATGAATTTGGGTCAGAGAGGACACAGTTCAATCCATGGCACCCTGCCTTTCTCTCCTCCCAGTCTCGGATCTTCTGCTGGTAGCTCTCATTGGCTGGACCCACCTAGTGAGTAAGGGAACCTGGTTGAAGTGAACCATAAAATCAGCCTCCTGAGGCACAGAGTAGGGTGGAGAAGGGTAGACCTGGAGGTAAAAAGAGAGAATTTCTAGCAGATTCTGTATTGTCTACATTCTTGGGAAGGATCTTTTCACATGGCAACCAACACCTCTGGACTTTTGGTTCTTAGCCCCTGTTATCTTTTTTTTTTAATTTTATTTTATTATGTTAATCACCATACGTTACATCATTAGTTTTTGGTATAGTGTACCATGATTCATTGTTTGCATATAACACCCAGTGCTCCATGCAGAACGTGCCCTCTTTAATACCCATCACCAGGCTAACCCATCCCCCCACCCCCT